GATAAGGGGTGTCTTTATGATAGTGCAGTATGACTTTCCAATGAAATCAATACAGGGCCGGTCAATATGCCACAAAGGGTTAATGTCCATGCACTGACTCCAGGATATTTGTAGTAGAAGGTCTCCTTTGGTGATGAACTGGGGGCCCCCTTTAGGGTGGAAATGATTCCAGGCGACCTTCTTCAGTGACCATACAATGGTAGCTCTGCAATACAGCTGCACCCTTAGCTAGGCTTGTCGGTGTTATGGCAGGAATCAGCAGGTCTGGATCTTGGCCTGCTCTGGTACTAGGTCTCAGGATGATCTCCAGCTCCAGTGAACAGCAGCACGGACACAGACTAGACTTGGTAGATTGCAGAAGCTTCCAGTTCTCCAGAACTGGCAAACACTGCCTCTCATGTAATCCACAGCCTTTCCTTCCTCTCCTGTCCCTTCTCTTCTCCACACACCAGTGCCTCTCTCCCAGACTGCCTTGTGGTTTTCCGGGCTTTCTAAATTATATGACCCCTCCAGACTTAAGGCATGCTGGCTTTCGTATTTCAATGGGTCTGGTTAGTAACAGAGTTCCTTCTGGCTGGGACCACAACTCCCAGACTGCAATGCTCTTGCCTGAAGATGAATCAGAGTCCACAAAGCTCCATCTTGTGGCAGTAAAAGGGAACTTCTAGCAGGAAAGATTAACTATAACAATGCATTACCCAATTCCTGACCGCCCTGTATCAGAAATACCTCTACAGGGAGGCACGGGTGCGCAAAATCACACACACACACACATATATATATATATATATATATATATATATATATATATATATATATACGTGATTTCACATTTTACGGGTAGGGGGAGGTGCATGCGAGCCCTACCCGAGCCGCCGTTCGCGGCTGCAGATGTCCCCCGGCCGGTGATTACTTTCCGGTGCACGGTGAGTACAGAGGATCTCTAACAGGGAGAACTGTTTTGTTTACTAACAGTTTTCCCTGTCAGCTCGGGCACACTGCTTTGGATGGCTGTGCACAGCACAGCCATCCAAAGATGTGTGCTTACAGTGATGCACACAGACAATGCCCCATAGTAAAACACACCCAGCACAGTTATCCCTTTGATCTCCTCTCATGTTAACCCTTTCCTGCCCAGTGCCATTAGTACAGTGTCAGTGCTTTTTTTTAGCACTGATCACTGTAATGGTGTCACTGGGGATGTCAGTGACACCAAGCCAGTCCCCCCCCCAGAGTAAGAATGTCTGCAGCAGTCCTGCAGTCCCGCTATAAGTCACTGATTGTCGCCATTACTAGTAAAAAAAAAAAACCCAGTATACTTATCGCTATTTTTAAATGCTATAACTTTCACGTAAACCAATTAATTTACACGTATTGGGATTTTTTTTTAGCAAAGACATGTAGCAGAATACATTTTGGCTTAAATTTATGACAAAATTGGATTTAATTTTTTTATTGAACATGTTTAATAGCAAAATGTAAAAATTATTGTTTTTATCTCAAAATTGTCGGGGAATTTTTTATAGCGCAAAAAATAAAAACCGTACAGGCAATCAAATACCACCAAAAAAAAGCTCAATTCGATGGAAAAAAAGGACATAAATGTCATTTGGGTGCAGCGTTGCATGACTGAGCATTTGTTAGTTAAAGTAATGGTCAGGTCAGGAAGGGGGGGTAAATCCTCAGGAGGGCAAGTGGTTAATAAACTTGCGCATTGACCACAGCCCCAGGGGTTTATTTCCTGTGGGGCAAACAAGGTGTTTGCCTTGGGTGGAACTTTTCGGGGGGGTGGCTTCCAGAAGAAGGGACTGACACTGAGTGAGCGCATTGGGGCGATTCATAATGAAGTTTCTCCTGTTGCGGAGATCAGGGGTGTTGCTGTGCTGAACATGGGATCCTAGCCTCATGCTTTGTGGATGGAGGTATTAGGAATCACCTTTGGAGGGATCGGAGAATCTTGGAGCACCGAGACCTGCATCTGTCAGATTAGGAGTCTCAGTGCATTGGGTTTAAATGCTGTCAACTGCTGTCACTGGAAATTTGTGGCTACAATTACCTGTTTATTAACAGGTACAGAATTGCTCAGATGGGTTTTATCTATTTCTGTATGCTGTATACTATCTTTCTCTTTTTGTTTATTTGTGGGGAGGGCACCCAATTTTTTTGTTGCCTAGGGCAGCACAAAAACAATATACACCATTGTACAACCCCTTCACATTTTTAAGAAGCCTAGTTTAGCATAGTGTCCTTAGGGGGGTAGAATGTCTTTCTCCACCTGTGCTGAATTGTTACTGAAAAACTAAAGATTGTTGATATTCATGGATTTTTTTACTTTGACTTCTCAGATGCCTAATCACGGTAGATTGTTTAACCTGGATTAAGATACAATTTTATCTTAACCCCACTACAGGCATTTCAGTTCAAGTCTCTCTAAATTCCACTTAGAAGATGTCAACTCTTTTTAAACCTTACAGGGACATGGTCCCTGTACCAGCTTGGGAGCATTTTAATGGTTTTTATTAAAACCTATTTACCTAAAAGTACCTAAAAGAGAAAGTCCATTTACATAGATCATAGATCTCAAGGCTCACAATGCCTTTGGTTTTTTCTTTGGATGAAGTTCATCTGATCAGGTGACTTCTCTGGAGTAAAGAGAATTTCTTGAGTTGATAGACTATTCAAGATGCAATAACTTCATGTCCATATCTTTCCTCAACAGTGCCCAATCTAGTCATTCGGATTGGTAAACTTCATCTCCAGGTTGTGGAGTTACCTTTTTGGCTGACCACAGCTACCAGGGTATTTACAAAGGTTCTGGCCTTTGTCCTGGCAGACTTCAACACCAACGGACATTACATCAAATGCTTTTCTGATTATTCTGATGGGGCCTTTCTCTTTTCCTGAATACAGACATGTGCCATAGTCTCAAACCAAGCTGTCTTTACCATGATGGCTTCAGTCATTTTTCTAAAGCACTACACTACAATACTTTTATGGAATTTACAGCAGTGTGTGTTTTGTGTTTTGTTAGTGGGTGTAACCCAGACAAGGATCTGATGGAATCCTGTTGCAGCTCAAGGGTTTACAGGTACATAGACAAAACCAGGGATCCTGTAATGGATCCCCTAACTGAAGTGGGGTTACTCTATCCTATAAGTCACCTTTCCTCATAATCCACAAAAAGAGAATGGTTTGATGACCATGTCCTTAGATTGGTTCTAATAGCAGAATTTTTTTGCCCCACTGCATTCTCTGCATTAAGGTAAAAAAACCGTCTGCATGCAGCTTCCCTCAGTCCCCTCTTATACTTACCTGAGCCCAACCTGGATCCAGCGATGTGCATGAGAGCAGAAGCTCTCTCGGCTCTCTCCCTTCTCATTGGCTCAGAGACATCCTTTTGCTCCTGTTGCTGTCAATCATAGTCATGGAGGAGAAAGCAAGGTTAGGGTCAAGCTGTGCTCTGTGTGTCATTGATCAGTGTGGATTTGGGAGCGAGCCTGCACAAATGCCCCCATAGCAAGCCACATACTATGGGGGCATTCAGGGGGCTGTTACTCAATTAGGAAGCTTCCTCCTTTACTTGTTGCCACGATGCAGTAAGTTTCACTAATAAGATAAAATCTGCAAAAGGGACACAGAACAATTAAAACTGAACTTCCCTTACTCTACTGAAAAAAAAAAATTATTTCAGTCTGTGCTGTTGTTGAGATTTAAATTCTTCTCCCTAAACCATTGGCCAAGATAGCTCTAAAATAGCTAAACCAAATAGAGGTTCTAATCTATCCTCATCCTATCTGGAAATAAAAGAAACTTATCTGGGCATACAGGGGCGGACTGACAACTCATGGGGCCCCCGGTCCTTGCCCAAACTCAAAAAAGCCTATGAAAAAGGTACCAGGGGCATCTCCTGGGGCCCCCTACTGACCCGGGCCTTCAGGCAGTGCCCGAGTTTCCAAATGGTCAGTCCGCCCCGGTGGGCATATATTTTAATGAACAGAAGAAAAATAACTGATCCCAGCAGTCCTCCCTGTGGTACGCCACTATTAACTTTCATTATTTCTATGTAATTAAATTGTCTGCAATTGTAGGATTGTCATAGTTAACCTACAGCCCCCATTCCATTTAATACTAAGCACTAACTAGTTCTTAGGACTGATTTAAATTATGATTTAGACTGTTTACTTCTGTCTGCTGCCTGCCCTGACCCTCTGCCTGTTTTTGGATCACATTTGCCTGTTTTTGGATCACATTTGTTTGGTTTGTCTTACCTGTCACCCTTCATTGACAAAGATGGCCCCCCAACAATATTGTTATGTCTTCTCTCATTTTTTACTTTCAGTTACTTTCTATACAATAAAAGTCAAGATTAATGGTCTGTCGTTAACAATGGTATGACATCTGCTGTATGTCAGTCTTATGAAACTATTCCAGTTGAAGAAAAGTGTAACAAAATCAGATATACTGTAGATGTTTATCAATTACTGTTCATGAATCTTTAGGCCCATGTGGATAAAATCCATCTGGGCAAGCTGTCTAGTCTGTTTCAATTTTATTTGTGCATAAACACACCTAATAAGGATCATCGTAATCCTTATATACATATAAAATAAGCACTAGAAACAACTGTATTATTACAAATACCAATATTCATAATAATTAAATGCAAATATATTTAACCACCTCCCGCTCGCCCGCCATATAGTAATATGACGGGCGCAAGGTGGTTCTCACTGCGCATGCGCGGCTCAGGGAGCGCGCAGCGCGGCGATCGGCGGTGCGCTGTGTCCCTTGGACACAGCGGATCCCGGATCACGGAAAGAGCCGAAGATGTCGGCTTGGTCATGTGATCAGCTGTGTCCAATCACAGCTGATCACATGTAAACAGGGAAATGCCAGTTATCTTCATTTCTCTCCTCTCGAGCTGGCACGCTGACAGCTTGAGAGGAGAGCCAGTAATCGGCTTTCCGCGGAGGGGACATCTACGCAGATCATCAGGGCACTGATGATCAGTGTAGCCCCAGCAGTGCCACCTGTCAGTGTCCATCAGTGTCTTATGTCAGTGCCTCATGCCAGTGCCCCATCAGTGCCACATATCAGTGGACACCAGTGCACATCAATGCCACATATCAGTGCCCATCTGAGCTGCCTTTCAGTGTCACCCATCAGTGCCAGTGAGTGCCGCCTATCAGTGCCAGTCAGTGCCGCCTAACAGTGCCAGTCAGTGCCGCCTAACAGTGTCAGTCAGTGCCGCCTAACCGTGCTGCCTATCAGTGCCGCCTATCAGTGCCAGTCAGTGCCGCCTAACAGTGCCAGTCAGTGCCACCTATCAGTGCCGGTCAGTGCCGCCTATCAGTGCCAGTCAGTGCTGTCTAACAGTGCCAGTCAGTGCCGCCTAACAGTGCCAGTCGGTGTTGCCTAACAGTGCTGCCTATCAGTGCCATGTATCAGTGCTGCCTTTCAGTGCCCATCAGTGATGCCTGTCAATGCCCATCAGTGCCACCTACCAGTGCCTCCTCATCAGTGCCCATCAGTGCCACCTATCAGTGTCCATCAGTGCAGCCTATCAGTGCCCATCAGTGCAGCCTCATTAGCGCACATCAGTGAAGGAGAAAAAGCACTTATTTACAAAATTTTATAACAAAAACTAAGAAACATTTTTTTTTTCAAAATTTTCAGTGGTTTTTGGTTTGTTTAAGAAAAAATAAAAAACCCAGAGGTGATTAAATACCCACCAAAATAAAGCTCTGTCACAAAAAAATGATAAAAATTTCATATGGGTACAGTGTTGCATGACCGCCCGTGCAATTGTCATTCAAAGTGCGACAGCGCTGAAAGCTGGAAATTGGCCTGGGCAGGAAGGGGGTATAAGTGCCTGGTAGGCTAGTGGTTAAACATGTAAAAAATATTTCTTGTATTATAAATATTTTTATTTTTAATAAAACAGTGATCCAAATAAAAGCATCATATGCCTGCAGAGCTCTGTAAGAGCTAATTGGAGGGAAGCCCCCCCCCTTCACACAGCAACAGACCTGAGGCTGTCAGTCACAGGCGGGGTGCTGGAGCTCCCTCCCCTGTCACTTTTTTATCTCTTGAAGTGGATGCTGTCAGTAGTATTGCAAAAGGCTGGGGAGACAAGCACCCACTATAAAGGGATAATTTTTGCTCATATTTCATGTTAGAGGTTTACAACCACTATAATTAGGTAAGCAAATTAGTTATGCAGTCATTTTTAGGTTACCCTATGTAATTATATAAACTGTGCTGGCACTGCTGAATTTGGCTTGAACACCTAGGCATCAATGACAACTGATCACAAAAAGATAAATATAATTAGCAATCTGCTCATTTTATTATATTCCATAAATTTTAGTACTTCAGTGTCCATTATCTCAGTCTTTTGGGATTTTAATGCTTCCCTTTCAGCCATATTATATCTAAAAACTTTCTAATCAGCTGTATATTTTCTTTTATCCATGTACCATTTGGTTTCAGTGCCTTTATCTGTTGTAAGCTTCCTTTTTTTTGATATAGTTTTTTTTTCCCAAGTCCTTGCCAAACCCTACTGAAGTCCAATTACCATATTGGGTCATAGTTGCCCAACTGTTCCTGAATCTGTACACTAGATACGGTGTGTATTTTTTTTTTAGTAAGTGTCAAATGACAACATACTAACTTACTGTAATCTAAAAGTGGAAGTATCAGTACTATAATAAACTGTTACATGTTAAGATCTCTCATTTTTCTTTTGTTAATGTATTGTTTAAATTAATATGGAATTTATCACTGTTTCTGTAAGATGGCTAACAAAGAACAGGCAATATTTGTGTCTTTATAATTAGGAGAGTGTCTAGTGCTAAAACAAAATGTTTTACTAAAATCAATCTACAGTAGTAGGATTTTCTAGTTATATTTTTTTACAGCATTTGCTAAAGTTATTTGTGGAGGAAAAGCTAAGCATAATATAATGTGCAAAATGCCCATTATAAAAAGAAATGTAAACCGTAGAGCTAACTTTTAACTTTACTGCTGCTATATGTGATTGCATGTTGCAAGAAAAGAATGTAGTATGGGTCACTACACAGGTCTTTATTTACATCACTGTGTAGAAAATGATTGCGCAATTAATATGTTCAAACAAAGTGAACTTCCGCAGGTTTGTTAATCGTTAATTTATTTTAAAATCTCAGCTCTAAATGATTGCTTTATTACACTAGTGTTGATAAAGATACAGTATATACAAATTTTGTATTTGCCTATAAAAGAATTATCTCCACTGAAATCTGAAAGCCATCAAAATATAGAAGACGGCTAACAAGACAGAAATGGTTATTTATGAATGTTGAAATGTTGGTTTATTTAACCACTTCCGCTCCACCCTATAGCAGAAATACTGCTACAGGGCAACACGGGTGTGCAAAATCACGTATATATACATGGTTTTGCAGTTCCAGGTAGGGGGGAGCGCATGCCCTACCCGTGACACCATTTGCAGTCTTAGCTGTCAATCACTGGGTCCCGGACAGTGATTCCGCGCCGACACACGGCGATCTCTGAGGATTTCCGACAAGGGAGAATCCTGTATGTAAATAATCAGATCTCTCCCCTGTCAGCTCCTGCACACTGCTTTGTATGGCTCTGCATAGCCATACAAAGTGTGCTTACAGTGAAACACAGCACACAGTTTACCCTTTGATCTCCCCAAATGTTAACCCTTTGCCCTGTGTCATTAATACAGTGTCAGAGCTTTTTATTAGCAATGATCACTGTACTGGTGTCACTGGGGATGTCAGTGACACCAAGTCGGTTCCCCCCCAGTGTCAGAATACCTGCCACAGTATAAGTCACTGATCACCGCCATTACTAGTAAATAAAAAATATAAAAAGTATATATACACCGCAATTTGTAGACGCTCTAATTTTCACATAAATCAATTAATTTACACATATTGGGATTTTTTTTAATAGCAAAACATCTCTATATTTTTGTTTATAGCGCGAAAAATAAAAAACCGCACAGGCAATCAAATATCACCAAAAGAAAGCTCTATTTGTTGGAAATAAAGGACGTAAATTAAATTTTGGGGCAGCATTGCATGACCGCGCAATTATCAGCTAAAGTAATGCAGCGCCTTATTGCAAAAAAAATGGCCTGGTCAGGAAGGGGGGTAAATCCTTTGGAGGGCAAGTGGTTAACTAGGCAAGGGCAATGTGTAAAGCACAGTATTCACAGCAGCTATGTTTGTATTAGGGGTCTTTTTGACAGCTCTATGAGTGAAATAAGGTCAAATCCTAATAAAAGGTAATGTACTTTGCAGGTTGTATTTGTTCTTTGCACTGGTGAGCTGACAGCAATGTGCTGTCAGAGAGACTGTAAAAATTGCCCATCATTTTCTATTGTAGGTGTTGATACATTTTTGACACATCTGGGGAGAGAAGCACAGCAGAAGATGCAAACAGCGTTACAGACCACAGCTGACGGCTTACTGAAAGTCTGCATTTGAGGGCTTAAGGATTTCACTGTTGATGAGCAGGCTAAGGCAAATGGGCTAGCCCAGGGCATATTCTTTAAATGTATTGTGAGGGATTAGCCCAGTAGCGGGTGCTTGACCCCCTGGATGAGTCAGAGCATGATGACAGAGGTACGGCACGACAGCAGGATCTTGATGAAGAAAGTTGTGCTTTATTTACAAGTCTGGTGAACACAAGGTGCATATATTCAAATACAGCAAAACAAATACAAACAGAAAATAAAGCCTTGCCACACTGGGCATCTAACTGCAAACACAGGTTCCTATCTACCTGTCTGGATACAGCCTATCGCTGCTCAGACACCATGGGGTTTATTTGCTAAAGCTGGAGAGTCCAAAATCAGACTCCCTTCTGCATAGAAACCAATCAGCTTCTAACCTCAGCTTGTTCAATGAAGCTTTGGCAATAAAACCTGGAAGCTGATTGGTTTCTGTGCAGAAGTGAGTCTGATTTTGCACTCTCCAGCTTTAGTAAATAAACCCCAGGGTGTCCACACAGAGCGTCTCCCAGTCCAAAATCACCGCAGTATTGTTTGGTTGCTCCCTAGTCTCTCCTGCACAGCAAACTGGTTCCAGGTTGGAGCATTCTCTCTAAGCAGCCTGGGAGTTATGGAGCCCAGAGCCCTTAACTTACTACAGCTGAGCTCATGAAATCATCAGTGAGCCAAACAGACTCACTACACAGCATAAAAGGAGAAACAGTCGGTGTAGAGCAGGAACCTGGGACAAATTATTATTATTATTATTATACAGTATTTATAAAGCGCCAATAGTTCTCTCAGCGCTGAACATTACAATGGGGGACAGAACAATAACAATACAATACAATGCAAAACATGAGGGGATCGAGGGCCCTGCTCTTTCGAGCTTACAATCTAGGAGGGAGGGGATGTTGGCACAGGAGGAGAAAGCTGTGGGAGATGGAGTGGTAGGAAGAGTGGAGGAGGTCGGCAAGTTAGCAGGGGGTGGGGTAGGCTTCCCTGAAGAGGTGGGTTTTCAGGGTGCGCCTAAAGGAGAGTAGGTGATAATCTGATGGGTTGGGGTAGGGAGTTCCAGAGGATGGGTGGCACCCTGGAGAAGTCCTGGAGGCGGGCATGGGAGGAGGAGACCAGGGAACTAGAGAGAAGGAGGTCTTGTGTGGAGCGGAGTGTGCGTGCTGGGTGGTACTTGCATATTAGGTCAGTGATGTAGTTCAGGGCAGTATGGTGGACAGCTTTGTACGTCAGTGTTAGGATTTTGAATTTGATCCGTTGCACAATCGGAAGCCAGTGGAGGGATTGGCAGAGGGGGGTGGCGTAAACGGAGTGGTTGGAAAGGTGAATGAGTCTGGCAGCTGTATTCAGGATTGACTGAAGCGGGGATAGCCAGCGGCGAGGCAGGCCAGTGAGGAGGGAGTTGCAGTAATCGAGTCGTGATATGATGAGGGAGTGGATGAGCTGTTTAGTGGTTTCTGGGGTTAGGAACGTGCGTATTTTGGCGATTTTGCGGAGGTGGAGTCTGCATGAGTTTGTTAAAGATTGGACTTGGGGCTGGAAGGATAGGTTGGAGTCCAGAATGACACCAAGTACTCTGGCCTGCGGGGCAGGTTTGATGGTGGCGTTGTTGGAAATGATGGAGAAGTCAATGGGGGGGGGGGTGCGGGCTAGGGGGGAAGACAAGAAACTCGGTTTTGGAGAGGTTCAGTTTAAGGAAGTGGAGCAACATCCAGTCCGATATGTTGCTCAGTAGGTGTGTGATTCGGTCGGAGACTGAGGGGGGTGAGGTGGGGGGTTGCGAGATAGATTTGTGTGTCGTCAGCATATAGGTGGTAGTTGAAGCCGTGAGAGTGTATGAGTTGGCCAAGGGAGGAGGTGTAGATGGAGAAGAGAAGGGGCCCAAGGACGGAGCCTTGAGGGACCCCAACAGAGAGGGGGAGTGAGGGGGAGGTGGAAGCATTATAGGTAACGCTGAAAGAGCATTGTGACAGGTAGGATGAGAGCCAGGAGAGAGCAGAAT